GGGTCTCAGTGTTCTCACCTCATGGACTCGCTTGAGCTGACGTTAACTGGAGAACATTTATGACATTCTAAAGGGACATCACTCCAAAAGTACATGCACAGGGCAGGACTTCAAAACTGCATACATCATGAGGTTCATCATTGCAACCTCTCTCCTTTTTATTCTCATTTCCACTTCTACAAGTCCAGTGAAGGGTCGAAAATGCAAGTCTGATTAATCTTGAGGCCAGTGTATATGAGAGAGCATTTTACGAATTAACTTTGAGAAAAGTGACTCCAGGACCAGCTTTATGCATACACAAGATGACAGACAAGAATCTGTCTACAGGACAATGTTTGCTTTGGCCCAGCCCAGTTGATAAGTGAGAGATTGAACTGAAATTGTCAGAGACAAGGCTACAATCCATGGGACCACTGGGAACAAAGCCAATCATGAGAGAAATGGGGAAAGGGAAGAAAATGATGGGAAATTGGGCTGGTCCATTTAGTATCTCTAAATCCTGCTGCCATTTAATAAGCACCTGCTGAGGTTTCCATTAAGATGAATGCCTTGAACTCACACCTTGAGATTACCACCTACATGGCCTGGGGTGTGGTTTGAGCATCTATAGTTTTAAAATGCTCCTATGTGATTCTAATATGTGGCTAAAGGTGACAAGGACCCCTGGTCTACCGTGACCTCAGGTTACCAACATGGAAGTGTCGCATACGTGTGGCTACACCACAGAAAAGGCTGAGTATCCATCAGTCTTTGATGGGATCTGTATTTCCCTCTCAATAGTACTGTTTGTATAGCATAGAAAAAATCAATAAGACGAACAAGAAAATTAATAGATTAGACTTTTAGCCTCTGCTTGAAGCACACTTGCTCAGTTTTGAATAAAAGATAAGAAATAGTCATTATATTAACACCTAATGTATTGAAATAATACCTCCCATATTACATATAGTGGAATTTAGTATTTTTTTTTTTTTGCATTTTAAAAGAAAACTTCCAGTTTACATTTCCCCACACCCATTTTATAGCCCACTCATGGGCTCACCACTGCAATGTGAAAATTTTACTTTTGGTCAGTTATTTTCCTTCCACAAAATCCCCAAAGAGAACTCGTCGGTCTCACTTTCCTGAAGAGAATACAGTAACACAGTAAGACTGAAATTCTTCAAGAGACTGTGTATGAATACTTTTTCATGCCTCTCTTCACACTGGCATAAAATATTAAAAACAAACCTTTCCCAAAATGTACTAGGGGAAAACAGTAAGTGGGAGGGGAGAATGTAGTAAAACAAAAACTAATCCATTTCACTTTATACTTCAGAGTTTTCTTGCTCTAGATATTGAGAATATTTCTAGAAATGCCTTAAGGTGGAACCAGATGTGAAATCAATTTCAGGCCATTAGAAAAAATATGTTGGGCCGTAGTTACAGTCCCCGCTCTGTCTTAGCTAACACCATTTTGAGTCTCTTTTTAAAAATTCCCTTTCTTTCCTGATCCCCTTTGGACAAATACTTATAATTATCTTTTTTTTTTTTTAACCAGCCAAAGAAGCAGCAGTAACATCATATTTATTTGTAAAACCTTATTGCCATCCTAACCAAGGTGACCAACCACCTCTCATGACTGTTGAGACCTCCAGATTGGAGCCTTTCCTCTCGCTTTCTCCAATTTTTATTGAAACGGCCTTAGTGGGTAGATTCTGATTCCTGGGTTGTCAATAGCAAGTCATGTGGCCTTAGTTCAATCTTACCCCTGTGGCATCACTACTCCTCTGTCGTAAAAGATGGACCTGGACGTGGATGTTGTCTGAGGTTCCTGCTGCTTCTCCCATCCCATCGCCCTCCTATTCCGCCCTAGAAGACTAGGACATGGAGTTGTAAGGGGGTGGGTTTCTCTGCAAAGGGTCCTCTCCTCCTGCTCCCCTCTGTTTCTGGGCAGGCATGATGGATGCTGAGCACATCCTCACGGGGAGGAAAAGCCATCACTCTGCTCCAGACAGAGGGGATCAGGATGAAAAGGGCTGATGTTCCCCTCTGCTGGTTGTGCATAGGTGGGGTCCTTATATCCTGCACCCCAGGCTGACTGGAAGTTCAGGGAAGTTCAGGAGTGTTTTTTTCTCGCTTGTGGATGGTGCTTCCCCCTTCAGTCAACCCACGGCCCACCCTTCAGCTCATCCTCCTGGCAGGTGATCCTTTCGCCCCTGATATATCACTATTTAGCAATCCGTCCAGACTCAGCCATCAGGAGGACCTGACACAAATGCTCATTTGATTTTTTTCTCTCTCTCCCCTACAGATACCAAATACTGCTGGAAGGATGCAAAGGATGAAAGGATGTCACAAAAAGTAGTTTTTCCACTTGATGAAAACAACTAAAACAGCAAAGCAAGTTCAAGTCCAAACACAATACTGCAGGGGTCCTTCACTGAGGATTGAATTTTAGACACAGAATACTCTTGATGATTTCAAACCACTATGCTCCTTTGATTTGAGAAGCCACAGTCCATAACCCTCCAATTGTAATCAATGCCTAGGGAGACCAATACCCAGATGGACAAACAGCACTGACAGGCCTTAGCCCTGCTCCTCTCAATTCCCATCGTGTAGAGAACAGGAGTCAGGAGCTGCTGGCAGGAGACAGCATGTCAGCCAGGACTCTGCCAGGGCAGAGTATGAACAATGCCATGTTCTTGCTGAAAACGCTTAGCCTGAGTTTCATAGGAGGTAACCCTCAGACAACTGCAGAATATAGAACATTGAACAGGACAACTGACCTGTCTCCTTCAAACAGTCCATGTCACCACCAAGAACACAACAAAAAGGAGAAGAGACATTTTGGGCTCAAAAAGAGTAAAACGACTATGTAGCTTGTGCTTTTTTAGTCATTTTGAACCCAAAACATTTCCTCATCTTTTTGTTGTTGTCATTGATGGTGGTGACATGGACTTGTTTGTAGAGGACAGGTCAGCTGTGTGGCTCAATGGTCTACATTCTGAAGTTATCTGAAAATGTCCTCATGATTAAATTCAGCGTAAACCTTTTGCCAGGAACTCTGCAGAGTCCATGCTGTGAGCTTCCTACCTCAGTCCATCTGCAGGCAGAGAAGGCCCAGTGTGTCCATCCCCATTATTGTGATACTAGCATGGTGACTTGGTAAAGGAGGCGTCTAGGAGATCTGTCCCTTGTAAAGACATCTTGGTTATAATTAATTTGGAAAGTGGTTTGAAACAGTATCAATTTCCTGTATTCTAACGGTCTTCCTCTGAGTATTTTATCATCAATTAATCACCCCTGCCTGTGTCAGTTATTATATTTATGTTTGTACTTTGAAAATTTTCTATCTCAAAATCTTACTTTATACTTGCTTTTGCTGGCATTCTTCATAAGAAAGAATATTCACTGCCCAAATTTTAACCTTCATCCAAAATTAATTTTAATTCTTTTTCCTGGCATTCTGTTGTGATAAAGAAGATTCTCTGACCCAATTTTAACTTGCATCCAAAATTAATTATAGTCCATCAGCTAAAATGTTTAAGTTTTAAATCTCTTCGATTAAAACATTTTTTGCTTCTCACTCTGGACTATTGGATTTTTTATGTATAATGTTTTAAGCTTTATTATTATGATTGATTTTGGTGTATAAGAATTTAGATTAATTAAAACAGTCTTATTTCCCTGTTTATATTGTAAACTTCCATGTTTTAGTCTATGTTTACCAAACATGGTAGAATGTATTTACTGTATTTGTATGTTGATGTTTTCTTTTTGTGTTTGTGTATGTGTGTG